TTCATAGATTGATTCAATTTTATGTCAACACCAAATCAATCATGAAAAATAAATTTCCTGTTATTCCCTAACCTTTCAGGAGTTTTTCAGAAAAGTTTCCGACAGGGTTGGAGTGATAGAAATAAAGTAAGTTAGACAATAAATAATGTTTAAGACGTGATTCTACAGATTTGGTACTACACTTTACTGGACAATTATTGGCTTGATCACCAAGTAAATTATTAAGTTACCGCTATTTATGGGAAATAAATATTACAACCAATACCAGATTCTATTCGGTGAATTTAATAAATATATTTGATAATCAAATACATTGGAATGTTCACTCGGCTGTCGACAGAAGCAGACCACTCTCAATGTGTGTCACGCGATCGTCTGTTTACTCGGCACCAACCATTGTGTGGTGATGTTGATGATGATGGTCCCACCTTTTACCCCTACAAAGGTTTGAGCTGGACGAGTTATCTTTAAGATAATTAAATATAAACATTTTAACCAAGTTTGCAAACAAAGTCGAGCTGGTTACAATTACAGATATAAATGTCCTGTTAAATATGCTATAGGCCACAACCAAAAACATTCAAAGGTGTAACTAGTTATCAAAAGACCAAGTATAGTCCTCGACAATACTTCCATTTACACGTGACCTGGGATTTACACGTTTAAGCTTCCGCAGTTCCAGGACTATATCCAAGGAAACGACTTCCAGCCAACCCTTTACTAATTCAAGGCTTTTGCCACAGTTTCCACGTATTAGTCATTTATACCTGTATTCCGCGCGCGAGGCTCAAACCATTGTAGACTACTCAAAGCTATTTTTACTATTACTACTACAAAATCAAAAAAAACTAAAAATCCATCATCACCATCGAGGCAAACAATGTAGTTTTTTGTATATGCTACACAAATTACTAAAATGTCTTGATGACAGTCTCCATACAAAATAATCCGTTAGTGATAACTTTGTCAAGATACATTATTTATCCATTCATAAAAATTTAACTGCTCAATAAACAGCTTTTACATGTGAAATGCAGCGTCTCTTAAATTCTGTAAGTGTAGTTGCACGCTTGATGTGTCTAGGCATCGAATTGAAAACATTTATACCTTTGAAAAATAATGAATTTTGTGAAGTATTATTCAAAAGATGTGGTGTTCTTACTTCATCCGCGTTTCTAGTGTTATATCTATGAAAATCACTTCCTCTTTCAATCCGATCACACAAATATCGAGGCAGCAAACCGTTAACTACTTTAAAAATGAACACCATAGTCAAAAACACAATTCTTTGCTTCACTGACAGCCATTGCAAAGCATCCAGCATAAAAGTTGAGGAAGTGAATCTATTACATCCTAAAATCAAACGCATTACTTTATTCTGCAAACGCTGTAATCTCGATATTTGTGTTTTATTGGCCAAAAATAAAATGGAAGGGCAAAAGTCTAGATGAGGGGAGATGATTGATTTGTATAACTGTATTTTACTACCAATAGTTAAATCGTTTTTCAAGCGACATAGAATTCCATACTTCTTGGCAATTTTCTTGATGACATTGTCAATATGAGAATTGAACTTGAGTTTATCATCAATAATCACGCCAAGATATTTAGTTTCCTGAACGCGATCAATTGTCTCATCATCAATAACAACAGAGACATCATCATCTACACGATTCCGCGAAATTACCATGAATTTAGTTTTACTTATATTCAATTTCAATTGTTTATACTTCAACCATCTACTTAGAGAACGCAAATCTTCATTCAAGCGTGAAACGGCTTCTTCTAAATATTTAGCTGCAATGAATAACACAGTATCGTCAGCAAAAAGATTAATATCAGAAAACCGTAAAACTCGTCGCATGTCATTAATATACATAATAAATATAAGGGGCCCTAATACACTTCCCTGAGGCACTCCAAAGTCATTGTCAACGGGACAAGATACAAAATCATTGAAAACAGCCCTTTGTGTTCTGTCAGATAAATAGCTTTCAAACCATTTGTGTGCAGAACCCGAAATTCCAAAGCGCTTGATTGCTCTCAACAATAAGGGCCTAGAAATTGTCTCAAAAGCGCGTTTTAGATCCAAAAACACAGCAACAATCGTATCTTTATGCTGCAAATTTTCTTTCCATTTAGCTAACACTAAGTTTAACGCGGTTTCACAAGAATGGCCTTCCCGGTATCCCGATTGTTCCGGTATCAACAAACAGTTACTATTTAAATATTCTAACAGCTGACTTTTTACAACAAGTTCTAAAATTTTCTCTAATGTGTGCAACATGTTGATGGGACGAAACCCTTCGGCTTTAATCGTCCCAGCAACTTTTTGTATAGGAACAACTTAAGATTCTTTCCAAATATGCGGCACGTGCCCAGATTGCAATGATTGATTAATAAGGTCCCGCAGAGTGTGTCGAATGACATGAAAGCAATCTTGAATAACTCTAGCATTAACATTATCTACTCCAGCCGTTTTTCCTAATGAAAAGCAAATATTTTTATGTTCATCTAATGTAATTGGGTGAAAACCATTAAATCTACAATTACTATTAATCGGCTGTTTTATTTCGTCCGGTTCCTTCTCATTGCTCTTGATCAGCAGTTCTTTCAGTCGATGCGTCGTCGACTTTGGAAAGCAACCGTTTCGTGATGAGTGTGTGAGTGATGACCACGTTTTGCGTCCATTGCTGCAATGGAAGCGCTCTGACCCTCGTTGGCAAATCTGCCATACAATAAAACCACTGGTAGCGGCTCCCGTTCTGGTGGAAGAGGCTTATTGGATAGCGGAAGATAAAATGTTTATTGTGTTGTACCTTTTGACTTTTATTTATTTACCGCTATTCTCGAAACGGATTTCGCATACGATTTATTTTTTGTATGAGAAATCCGTTTCGAACGGAATAGAGAATAGGGGTGGTTATATTTTAAGAAATTTTATAAAACCCCAAATCTACAACCACTGGGATCATGATATATTTTCGAAGTCCAGCAGCTGAATTCCGGGCCTAAACTTCATTGAAGAGAATTGAATTACGCTCTCTCTCTTGAAAGTTAGTCAAAGTGGGAGTGAGATAAGTTCCTTTCAATCTCAAACAAGAAAGTTCGCTCGGGAAATAACGCTTTGCGAAATTCCCATAGAAAATTTCCCTAGTGAAAACATCTCGCTTACGATAACGAACTTCTAGCGATATTTCCAACACTGTTCAGGATCTTGAGTATGTTTGCCTCTGACCTTGATTTGTTTTTGCCATATTCCAAGATTTTAATTAAGCTGTTTCGAAGTCCAAAATCAATTAAATTTCATATGACCCGCAACCTTGATTTTTTATTTTACGACTGGGGTTTTAAACAAAATTTTTAACAGTCTCAGGAGTACAAAACCTTGCAAATCTTTCTAGATTATAATATTAAACATATTTATAAGTCCGGAATTCGTCGAAACTCAAATGATGCAGAAAATTTGGATTTTAATAAAGAGCCAAGTCCGCAATATTCCAAATTTTCCTTAGTATGACGCCTTGACACTGAAATACGTCGCAGAACCTAGAATTGGTCCATGTCATGTATTTTTAAAAACATATTCTAGTCCAAGAAGTTTTCCCTGGATCTAAATAAATTCTAAACCAATTTTTCACTTTCCTACACCCCGTTTTTATATAACAGCCACGATTTTGTGTTGACATTCACCTATAGCAAAGGTTCGTCGCCTGACGATACCCCGGGAAGCTGAAATCATTTGTCGATAATTTAACGACTGGTGATGATTTAGGTAGTGCTGATGCCACTGGCCTCCCAGCCGTTCAGTTACACAGCTTAATTAAGCAATTAACATAATCGCAAATGAACACACAAATTTAAAACTTCTGTACGACAGTAGTAAGCTCGTAAAAAGGCGCGTCTGTAAATTATACAATAGGCCAGCGTAGAAAATGATTTCCGATGTCATAGGTACAGCTCACCGCTCACCGTTGTTAGGTGAAATGAGAAAAAAAGAAGTTTATTTCATGAATGAAACTCAAAACTGCAGGCACGTGTTGATGGAGGCGTCAGCGGGCGGGGCGGTTGCATGGTTGGTTATGAATGAAAACCAACACGCTCCTATCCGTCCGTTCGTCTGAAGGTCAACGCGACCGTAAATCACGCCCAACCACCCATGATCCGGACACAAAAGCAAATTCACGTTGATCGTGATAATGCTAATGTGAAAAACAACGATTGATTCCCAATAGCAAAATGATCCCATTTGGTAGGGACGGTAATTAATATTCCATTAAATATCAATTTACGAGTCACTCTCTTGGAAATTCTTTCCAGGAGTTGCTGTTTCAATTTTAAATTCAAACCGCAACTATGGAACACAGTGCATACAAACCAATAAACACACTGATTTTCATTATCGATGGTAATGAGTATTAGCTGTTGATAGTTCGCACCCGTAACCACCGACTTTATTGCGATTATTATTCGTCGTATGATGCTTAACTAATTAATCCTCATTTCTGGCGGTAGGAATAAATTTTGCATACTTAATAGCCCTCCAGGCGTGTGATATGTTCCCACTCAGACAGAGTGTCGTCGGTATTGGATTGGAACCTATATTTACCGGCTTCGACTAGGTTTGTATAGTTCTGTCGTTTGTGCACTCACACGGAGACCGAATTACCCGTGGCGGCGTGGAGCAACGATGATGTGACAATGAGTTGCTAAGTAGTTGGATGAAAACAACAAAGCATTAATAATTCATGGCCGTGGTCGCGCGACACCGCGGATACCGCAGACGTATTATAGTCCTGCTGGAAACTGATCTTGCCATATTGACAATTGTTACCTGCATGGAGGAAAACTGTCACTATAAATCATGACAAATTTAAATACATGGGTTGGGAGCAAATATTTGTTCTGGGTTTATGTAAGAGGTTACGTGCAGACGGTATGGGTTGGAATTTTGTCCAGTCAGCAATCTTATTCAATACATTTCTTTCCTTATTCCACAGGCACCGGTCTGGCGAGCGTGGTCGTTTCCTTTCTCATGTCGACGTACTACAGCGTAATCATCGCCTATGCCATCTACTACTTCTTCACATCATTTCGGCCGGATCTACCGTGGGTTGATTGCTCCCACCGGTGGAACACCCCGGACTGCTGGATCCCGGAGCGCATGAAGCAGAACATCACTCGACCGGAAATGTCTCGAACACCCACCGAAGAATTCTTCGAGTTAGTCAACGATTTCGATCCCATTGCATTCGCCACCATTACTTACTAACCGAATTTCGCTTCCCACAGGAACAAAGTCCTTCAGATCAGTCACGGTATCGAGTACCCCGGTGGACTTCGATGGGAACTGGTGGCATGCCTGGTTTGCGCCTGGATCCTAATCTACTTTGCCATCTGGAAGTCGATCAAGTCGTCGGCCAAGGTGCGATACCTGACGGCGACGTTGCCGTTTGTGCTGATCATCGTCTTCCTGGGTCGATCGCTCACGCTGGAAGGGGCCGACAAAGGTCTGAACTACTTTTTCCGCCCCAACTGGGAGGAGCTCGGTCGGGCGAATGTAAGTACCGTAAATGTGAATTCAAAACCACATTCGTACGTCATAATAGTTTGTTTGAACAATAGGTCTGGATCAATGCAGCAGCGCAGAACTTCAATTCGATAGGTATCGCATTCGGTTCGATGATATCCTTTGCCAGCTACAATAAATACAACAACAACATTCTGCACGACACGCTGGCCGTGTCGTTTGTGAATGCCATCACTAGTCTACTGGTAGGTATCTTTGCATTCGCAACCATCGGAAACATTGCACTGGAACAAAATACAACCGTGGAGGACGTGATCAGTGGAGGTCCAGGCTTGATCTTTGTGGTATATCCTCAAGCACTGGCCAAGATGCCGGCAGCACAGATGTGGGCCGTTCTGTTCTTCTTCATGCTGCTGTGTCTGGGTTTGAACAGTCAGGTGAGACTCAAACACTATTTAGCACAATTCGAGCCAGATCCGCTAATTAAATTGATTTTCAGTTCGCCATCGTTGAGGTGGTGGTCACTTCGATCCAGGACGGTTTTCCTCGGTGGATCAAGCGAAAACTAGTCTACCACGAACTGCTCGTGTTAATCGTCTGTGGGGTTTCCTTCTTCGCCGGGCTGCCCAATTTGATACAAGGTGGTATCTATTTCTTCCAACTGATTGACCACTATGCGGCATCGATTTCGATCATGTTCTTGGCATTCTTTGAAACCGTCGCCATTGCTTGGTTCTACGGAATCAATCGGTTATCGAAGAACGTCAAGCAGATGACCGGAAAGTACCCGTCTTTCTATCTCCGGTTTTGCCTGCTAGTCGCCGTACCGGCAATGCTAATCGTAAGTTGACCAAAAAGCGACTAAACCCACCGTTTGTAACTAACCTTATCCCCCCATCCCAGTCACTGTGGATCTTCAGCTTGATCAACTACGAAGCTCCGACGTATCATAACGGCAAGTACATCTACCCGGGCTGGGCTCATGGCCTAGGCTGGGCCATCACAGCCGCCTCGTTGATCTGTATTCCAGCGTTTGCCATCTACCAAATTGCTCGAGCCGAAGGAGCTACGTTAGGACAGGTAACACAAATATCACTTCTCAAAGTACCCTATTGATCTAACTGAAATCCAATTCTGCAGAAAATCCTCAGCACTCTGAAACCAAACCTGTACGAGTGTAAGGTCTGCGGCGAGCATCACTGTGATCATGACTTCCCGGAAGAAGACTACGGCAACGAGATGGCCCTCGTTGATTCGACTTCCGGAGCACCGTTGATGCTTCAAGCTCCACCGCCGGGAAATCCACCGGCACGGTTGAACGGTGACGGTATGAACAACGCCCCGCACGAGGAAACAGAAAGGCGATGATTCCTGTTTTGCGAAACGTACAGAAACGCTTATTTTAAACTACAAAAATTCTCATCACCAGTCGAACAGAAAGCCACAGGAGTAAAAATCGAAATATAAACCATAATCGAAGGAGTTCCGATTCAACGCAGAAAAGACAACTAGGTAGATAAATTACAATTTCAAACAAAAGTGGAAGCAAGTCGCGAGAATTAAATTTCTAGAATGTAAATGCTATTATAATTATTTTAAAAACCCGATTCAATGTGATGCTGTTTTGATCCATGGAATGTTTATGACGTTTAGGAAATTAACTAGATAACATCGGTATCACGTCTGGAGAACACGTACGTAGATTTCGACGATAGCCAATACAAAAACGACAGTTAAACTTTTGAAAAAGGAAGCAACAGTTGTACATTTTTTTGCCCGAATAAATCTGTCATTAGTTTACATTGAAAAGGAAGTAGTGTTTCGATTATTCCGAACAGCAATCGAAAGTTTGCCGTGGACCCCAACTGCCTAAGCGCGGGCATATCGAAGCAGTGTCTTTATGATTGATTTTTTTTTATATTCTTCCAGTTGTTCCATGTCGTGTAAATTTAGGATTGAATTTCTAGGTAGTTTCCATTTGAATTTAAAGCATCTTTTTGGTTGTACTGTGCACTTTCTTTCTAAAGTTCGGTGAATATAGATTTTTTTAGGTTAAAATATTTCTATAAACTACCAAAACATTTGTTTACTTCATCCATGAGAGGAAGGCAAATTTTGTCTCTGTATGCTCTGTGAACTTCCTTCCCGAAGAATTGTAATCTTTTTTCCTGAAATAGTTTCCATAAATTCGATTCAATGAACTATATTCTGGACAGTGAATTTTTATTTTGAAATTCCCGGTTTTCCCAGTTCAATTATCAAAAATTTCTCGGTTTAACATATTCAGCAAAAACGGAAGTTTACAATGATTAGATTTTTTTTAAACGTGCAATTTTTTTGAAATTAATAGCGGGCAAAATAAATATATCCAATCTCAAGACCTCTTATTAATGCAAAGCCCTAGAACTTACTGAGCAACTAAGTTCTGAAATATATGTATGGTCACAAGGCCGAACGCTATTGGATGGGTCATTAAACCGAATTGCAAAAAGTGAGCGATTGAATTGAGAAATTGTTTTAGAACTTGATACAAATGAGATCTAGACAAAGTTGTTCGAAATCTCAGCGTAAGAGAATGTTGGAACACTACGTAGTCTGAACTAAAAAAAAGTTTATACCAATATCAACAACATGCTGATTTTCACAATATCACTTCATATAATGTCAGTGCGCAAATGAAGTTCCATGTTCTGTAATGCCTATAATCGCATATCAGTTCCATATGGAGTTTCGACAATTTTGAGATAACAAAATAAGTGCAAATCAGAATATAACTAGTTTGGAGTGAATTGTTTACATGTGCAAAATTTCATAACAATCGGTTTAGTGGTTATTGAGATGTCATCGAAACAAGAAGAAAATCGCCGGAGAATTTTGCGCGCCGTCATGGAAAAGCCGACTGCAACCATGAGATGGATCGGAAGACAACTGGGAATCACCCATTCAACTGTGTCTCGGGTGGTAAAATCGTTTAAGAAGTCCCAGACGACCGAGCGGCGGGCTGGAAGTGGAAGAAAGTCGAATACAGCTGACCCTGTGAAAGCCCGGAAAATGTTGGATTATTTCAAGCGTAATCCGAATCTTACGATTCGCGACGCGGCTCTGAAGGCAAAGTGTTCCGCCTGGTTCGTTCAGCAGGTTCGTGTAATCAAGGTCCGGAAGGCACCGAACCGGCGTGATCAACAAAGCACGGCGGCCAAATCCCGCGCAAGGAAGCTGTATCGAGAGTGGTTAACAAAACCTACATCAAGGCAGACGCAAAGCAGATACCGGGGCTGGAGTTCTACGTTGCCAAATCACGGTTTGATGTTCCGGAAGACATAAAGAAAGAAGAAAGTGGACACATTCGCCAAAAAATACTTGCTCTGGCAGGCCATATGCCAATGCGGTAAACTGAGTAAACCGTACATCACAATGGGTACCATCAACAGCGAAATTTACCGCACCGAGTGCCTCCAGAAGCGTCTGTTGCCCTTCCTGCGGTCCCACGGAGGCGAGACATTATTTTGGCCGGACCTGGCATCATGCCATTACGCGCGATCGACGTTGGATTGGAACAGAGACAATAACGTTGTATTTGTACCAAAAACCGCCAACGCACAGTGGTTGAAAAGTCCATTTTGACGCTCTTAATTAATAGCACCATCGAGAGCGGATTTAGAGTAAGGACGTTTTGAGCAAAGTTGATGAGTATGACATGCTTCATATTTTGAAAGCATGGGTTTTTTGATTAATCCCCCTAAAAGTGAAATGAAAAATTTATTTTTTCACAATGTCGAGATAAATGGTTGACGTCTTCAGCAAAGTTGTAGCAAAAATGATTACAAACAACTTTGCTCAGAACATAAAAGTCCTAAATTTCACTCAAATCGAGATAGAGAGCGTTGTTGCAGGTTTTGCAGCTGAGTTATTAATGGAAGAGAAAGTCAATGAAGATAATCGATCAATGCAGATAGGACCTTTTGAAATATTTATCTAGAATTGCTTCACGCTTGATGAAAAACAGTGATGAGCACTATGGAAAAACACTTTTCGACTCACAAGTTTAACTGACAGTTTTTTTTTTCGTTCTTGATGCTTCAGTTTTGCCTTCTAGACAACTTTTGAAAAAAAATGTGCCGTTCTTGAATTTGATAAGCTCTGAGAAGTGGGAAATTTGTTTATTGAGCCGGTTACTATGGAAACGAATTTATTATGCGGTATAAAACACAGTATCCCCTTGTTGTTGACATAACTTCTATAAAGCCTATCGACGGGTGTTTGTTTTGATCATAACTCTCCAGCAGACGGTCGTGGACGGACAAATTTACCACCATTTGAAAGCTCTTTTGATGTAATTTTAGATGCATCTGATTTCATCTGCACCTCCTTGCACCTACGTAAGGCCAAAATATGAGGAAAATAGAAGAAAATGTATCAATAACTCATCCTATTAAAATGATGCAGGTATAGTATGTTCTTGAACGATGTGTATTTTAGTATACCAATTAACTTTGTTGAACATAATGAAGACCTAAAATTTAAAAAAAATATGTGTTTTGATGAAAAACGTGTTTTTGGGGGGTCCGTCCTCAAACAACGCACTCTATCTCGATTTGAGTGAAATTTAGGACTTTTATGTTTTGAGCAAAGTTGTTTGTAATCATTTTTGCTACTTTGCTGAAAACGTCAAGACGTCGACATTGTGAAACAATAATTTTCTCATTTCACTTTTAGGGGGATTAAACCCATGCCTTCAAAATATGAAGCATGTCATACTCATCAACTTTGCTGAAGACGTCCTTACTCTAAATCCGCTCTCGATGGTGCTATTAATTAAGAGCGTCAAAATGGACTTTTCAACCACTGTGCAACCCCCCAAATTCACCAGAGATTCGTCCGGTGGAAAGATTTTGGACCATAATGAAGGCCAAAGTTCGAAAATCGTCCAAGGTGTTTAAGAACGAGCTGGAGTTGAAGAAAGAATGGATGAAAGTGACCAAAAAGGTCGGCTCCACCATTGCACAAAATGTAATAAGGGGTCTTAAGGGAAAGGTGCGGGCTTTCAGCGATGGAAAGGAAATTGAATAAAGTAATTATGCCGAAACATAATCCATGTGTATTAGTTCATCCCCTGAAAGTTTCAAGAAAATAAGACTTAAAATAAATTTTTGGCGAACACTTTTGGCTGGTGCATTTTTTTTTCGAGTGCATGCCTTACACTATCAAATTACGCTTGATATTGGAGCAAAATAGCATGCTTGATATTTATTTTGCAAACTCCTTTGATATTGCGATACTATTCACAACGTGTAAATTTGAAGCTGAGAGTTGGATCGACACATAAATGATTCCGTTGCACCTCGTTTTCTTAGGCTGTGAACCATTTGCCGAGTTAAATTTAACTCGTGGTTAAAAGTGACATTTCGAAAGTTATTTCTTATGTTCGAAAATCCCCGTGCTGTCGATCGACCGGTTTTCGAGCCACGGTCGTCAAAATTTAACTTCTTGTCTGTCAGAAGTAACCACGCTCGGATAGCAGGGTTAATCGATAACTTTTCATCTGTCAAATTTTAACCAAAAGTTAAAATAATCCACCAAATGGTTCAGAGCCTTAGAAAGAAAAAGTATAATAACGCTATCTCCTTGTGCTCTTCACGGATGGCAGACACGAAGCGACTGCTACCAGCCGTTATAGAAGTTTCGGTTGCGTTCGGGTGTAAAGCGGACATTATGAAACTCAATCTCAGCACAGTTGGGTGAGATTTGCAGCTGGTGAGTTTTGTTAGCTTGATATTCCGAGCTGCGATATCACAGCTTGCAATATCAACCGCAGTTGTTTGCTTGTTGATTTTTGACTACGAAAATCAAGCGTGATCTTTTTCTTTGGTGAGATTTGATGTTTTGATATTTTCCCAACACTGGATCCTAGAATTAAAAAAAACATATTTTTGGTCGTGGAAAGATTTCAATGTTTAGCAACCTTAAAAAATGTTCTTGGCTCCAACAATTGAAAAAAAAAATCAGAAAAATTCAGAGTAGAATATCTATGAAATATTTAGAAGTTAAAAGGAATTAAAATGTTAAAGCTCGATTCAAAGTAAATCTGGACGCACGGTTTAATACACCACCGCGCCCCTGGTGGTTGGAACAAAAAACGTTTGACAGGCATTTGTTGATGTTTCATTGACGAAGAAATTGATGAAAAGTTTTTCTCGATTGATCGACGCATCCCGAAATTACGGATTATGAAAATTCGTGGTCTGCCTTAAAAATAGCAAAAGTGTTAAAATTCCCAAAGTCAACGGTGAGTCTTGTAATTAAACGTTATAAGGATACTCTGAGTGTGGATAGAGCACAGCGCATCTATCATAAAAGTGGCACTAGAGACAAAGAGCTGAGGAGAAAGGTATTGAGGTACGTGAAAAGCAACCCAGGTGTCTCCATACGTTATTTGGCAAAGAAATACGATTCCAACTTTCCACCGTGCGTAACATCCTTTCAAGAGAAGGATATAAGTCTTTTTGTGCCAGTAAACATCCGAATCGCTCCCTGAAACAAAATTTAGTTGCCAAAAAGCGAGCACGATTACTATACGAACGAGTTTTGACGAAATTTGATGGCTGTATTTTAATGGATGACGAAACATATGTCAAAATGGATTATAAACAAATCCCCGGACGAAAATTTTACCTGGAAACTGGTCGTGGGAATGTCCCTTTCAGGTAGAAATTTGTTTTTTCTGATAAGTTTGCTCGGAAACTAATGATTTGGCAAGGAATGGAGAATGCGGTAAAGAAGTGACAAATGCACAACAAATGCGTTTAAAG